CCTTTCTCTGGCAGTGTTTCTTTTTTCAAACTTGAAAAAATTCATTTAGGGTAGACCTAAAATCAACTAAAGTAAATTTAGATAGGCTAATGTAAAGCTGTTATGGGGACTGCATGAGCTTAATTCACTGTGATAATAGTGCACAAAACAAGGAGACCATATTCTCCTTAACTACTTAAGAAGAAACCTAAGGGGGGAAAATGTTGTCTCCTGGGAAATTTACGGAAGTCCTGTAAGTAAATTAATGGAAAGCACCTCAGTAAAGAAGAATAGCCAGTCATGCATTTAAATTCCACCTAAGTCCAAAGCACTTGAGCATTGGCTTAAGCTACTTCTGGAATTACTGCCAAAGTTAGTAATGAAAATTCTGTCCCAGTTGTTTTTCAGGTCAGACCCATGTAGTAGATTGAGTTGTAAGTTTTTTGGTCTTGGTTGTTTTAAAATAAGCAAATACCAAATGAATTAAAATTCAACCACTATTTTTGTTTAAATTTCACTTGAACTTCTGAAAAAAAAGTTTAAAAAATTGCTGCCAGTTGATTTGAAACAAAAATATTTTGGAAGCTCTGAGCAAATTGACAGAAGTTTTTAAAATTAAATTTATAAAGCTATCAAAATCAATGCTTCAGCTTACTGCTATTATTTTCACTCTTCCTGATCACTGAAATCAACATGAATTTGCAAAAGAACCCCATATTAGTTTATGTGAACTTGCACCCTTCGAGTTGGAGAGGAGGAGGGAGTGATAGAAAAAAAGGTTTAGCTTTACCAGAGAGAGCATTTTATTTAAAGAAAAATGGATGTGAGCTAACTTGTAAACTAAATTAATTAGCCTGGCTTTCTTAACTTCAATTTTGTACCAGGAGAGAATCTGGACATCAAGTTGATATATACACGGTCTAGAACTAAATCCTAGTATTTTACATTTAGCTTTCATTTTAAGTGCTCTGATGCAAAAAAAATGGAGAAGCCATTACAAAAATGGAGAGAGCATGAAAAACCAAATACTGCCCCCCACCCCAAAGATGGAAATGATGTCATCTGAGACACTTACCACGTACAACACAAAAGGAATTCTCCAAAGTTGCCAACAATGCACATACCATTCCCTAGTGGTGAAAAGCTGCTATAGCTGTGCTCAGTCTCAGATGCAATGCATGATGATGATGTGTGATGCTCAAATGTCATCCTTGCAAGAGCAAGGACCCCACTTAATGTGTGGATTTGTCAAAAGTTCATGCCATCCAATAAAAAATCAGACAACTGGTCATATTTCCAGCTGCCACAAATACCACTGCTGATCTGAATGTTGTTTCAGACATCTGTGAGAAACTCTCCTTGGAATGTTTTAGTAACCCTGCTTTGTCCTTATTTTTTACCTGGTGTGGCCATTTTTATCCTAAGAGAAAAAGCCTGAATATCTGTACACTTGTGGTTTCTCCTGTGAGAACAGTGACTCTTCCAGGAGGAACTGAATGTCTTTATGAGGCCTCTTATATCAACATCTACTACACGGAGGATTGAGGGGCCCTTTGCCACTTACTTGCCAAAGGACAACAGGCAGACTTGCTAGATGGAGAATGGTCTGAGTCACTAGGCATCAAGAAAATAGGAGTGCACAGCATTAAAAAAAGACACCATTCAAGATGTCTTAAAGAAATGTGGCAAGGTTTCATTTATGTAGGATCTAATGATGGCACTGGTTTGAGTGAAACCTCATGTTATATTTTCCCTCCATTCACAGGGGTGATATTGTTTCTCTCTCAGAACAAGGTGTCCTAGGAGCAGTCATAAATCAGTCATGGTCAACTCCCATTAACCATGCCCATATCTGAAGCCAATAGTGGTGTTTTAGGTATGTGGTGACTACAAGTATATGGTGAATAAAGCACTGCAGAAACATCCATACCAGATTTCAGCTGTAAACCATGTCCTTAGAGGGAAGTTTTTTGCTAAAATGGATTTGGCACAAGTATAGCAACAGATCCTTATGGATTATCAAGCTGCTGATACATGGACAATCATTACCCATCCAGGAGCATTGTGAACCATGTGCCTACCACTTGGAGTCCACATTGTACCAGGAATCTTCCAAACGCTTTATGGATAGCTTACTTGCTGGTGTAAGGGACGTTGTGCCATATTTTGATGGCATTCTTTGTCAGAGAGAAGTTGATGCCAGAATTATCTATTTGACTTAAGGGGTATTAAGTTGCATTGCAAGTGCTGTTCAAAAACTCTAGAAACAAATATGTTTTTGGGGTAACCAGTGCTGAGTTTCTGGGATTCTGAGTTCCTACAAAGCAAAGTGGATCACAAGCCACTAGTGGGGTTGTTCACCAAGATTAGACTAATACCCCAAATCTTTTCACAATCATAATGTAAAGCCTTAAGAGTCATGCACAGATGACTCTGAAATGCAACATTGCCTGGGAAAGCTGATAGCCAATGTAGATGCTTTGAGCTGGTTGCCATTATCCAGTCCTGAACTCACTTGTCCTTCAATGTCTGAGATTTCAATGCTAGAATGAACTCCTGATCCTCTTCTTTAGTCAGACAACATTATCTGACACTGAGAAGTGTAAAGTGCTCCATCTGGGGAGGAAAAATCCACAACAAACCTACAGGCTCAGTGGTGCTACACTAGCTAGGACCAAGGGGTCATAATTCACCATTACGTGAATCTGAGCCACCAATGTGATGCTACAGTTAGCAGAGCAAACAATACACTGTGCATACATCAACCGATGCATTTCAAGAAAAACTAAGCAAGTTATTCTCCCTTTCTACTCAGCACTGGTGAGGCCACAGCTGGAGAACTGAATCCAGTTCTGGGCACCAGAAGTCAAGAAGCATGTGGAGAAGATTGAGAGAATTTAGAGAAGAGCCACTCATATGATTAGAGGCCTGAAGAGCAAGCCGTATGAGGAAAGGTTGACACACATGGGACTGTTCAACCTAGAAAAGAGAAGACTTTGTGGGGATTTGGTATATGTCAGGGGAGAGTGTCAGGGGCTGGGCGAACAACTATTCACCAAAGCGCCCCAGGGGAAAACCAGGAGCAATGGTCATAGACTCCTAGAAGAAAGTTAGCAGAGGGGTTTTCCATAGCAGAGGTAAAAAATTCTTGGGAAAAATTCAATAAGTTCATGGATAAAATTAACATCAGTCGCATCATATCTGCACCATTCTAGCCATCATAAGACAGGCTGCACAGATGGTGCAGACTACTAAAGATTCATTGAATTACATCATTGATGATGACTTAGAACTTAGGATTAGTTAATGTCTTACTACAACAACATGTAACTCCATGCACAGCCACACACCAAAGTCTAGCAAAGCTACTGAAATCATTTTTGGCTAGCCTCTACAACTTAGTAGCTGAGTGCCAAGCAAACTAAGAAATCTGGTTCTCTACAAAACTGGCTACTTCACCTGTACAGGCTTTCAAACTGAACAATCCTGTTTGAAGTCAAACTATGCAACTAGGCTACAGTGGGTGGCCGTAGCTGTTTTTGAAGTTACAGGGCCAGTCATAGAAGGCCAAAATGCCATATGGCAAGACACTTTAGAAGCATGTTGACTAGATGTGAGCTCAGTTCCAGATGTACCATCTACAAAGCCAGAAAGTTGTCCATACAACCAGTAGGACCAGTTCTTATGAATCTATCTGCAGTCTTCAAATCTTCTAGCAGGAGCTGAAGCAACTCTGGGCCTTGAATCTGGTTTTCTGAGGCAAGTCTGGCTCAAGTACTTAAAAGAGTATGTTACTGGGGGGAGCAGTATTATATACTATGGGTGTGGGTGGGAGTGTGTATTCCAACCAGTAGGTGAGGCTGTTCCATGTTCTCTTTGTGTCCTGTTGCTGCCTGTTTACGCTTGAAAAGCATCTATTGCTCATACAATAAAGAGAACTGCCCTGTTGCTTTTTGCATGATCTCTTCTGCCTGGAGGCAGGCAAAATACTACCCACAGGCCATATCCAGCCTTCCAAATGATTCTGTCCAGTCCATAGCTGTTCCTCTGAAGGAGAATTGTACCTGACCTCTGGCTGCCCTGGCTTTCAGTGCCTCTCACCCTTCTCCATGTCATAGCTGGCTGCAGAAGCAGCAGCTCTAGCTCCAGCTCCAGCAGCCAGGCAGCCACTCCCACCCTGCTCCACCATCTAGCCTCCAGTGTACACTCCAAGGTAGGGGGTGCTGAGCTCCTGGCCAGACTTCCACCAGGTGAGGCTGTCTGTATGTGGCTCTGACTCTGCAGATATTCACAGGCACCTCAGCCCCCAGCAAGACTTGAAGCTCAGGTATGGTTCCCCCTGCTGGTGGGGGAGAGGATGCAGGGGGAAGGATGCCAGGAGGTCTGGGTTATTCAGGCCCTGCCAAACTCAGCCAGGTAGGGGTGTGGGTGACACTAACAGTTCAGGCTGCACCATGTGGGTGCATGGCTGGGTCAGGCAGAAGCCACACCAGCTTCACCAGCTGTGCCCATATGGCTCAAAGTGGCACACAGGAGTGTAGTATGGAACTGGCCTGGCTTGGCCATATGCCAGAGACTTAGGGTAAGGGAAGGGGTACAGGGAGAAGGACGGGTAGGACAGTGTAGCACTGGCCCAGCTGGGCCTAGATGACCCATGGCTCATAGACCCCTTCTCCCTGTACCTATTCCCCTTCCCCAAGTCCAGAGCACAAGGATGGGCAGACCAGTACCAAGCTATGTTCCTGCAGGCCATGTGGGGGCAGCTGGCGAGGCTTGTGCCTGACCTGGCTGCATGCCAGGGACTTGTGGTGGGGAAGGGAGTGCAGGAAGAGCTGTGGGGAGCTCATGTATGTGTATGTTTGCTTGTGTATGCATGTGTCCTGCCCTCTATGGCTCACCAAAACTCATTAAGTGGCCCTACAGCCCAAATAATTTCCCACCTCTGCTCTAGCCCTTGGCAGGCATTATATTTATGGTGCCATTCATGACATCATTATGGCATCTCATTGTCTGCACTGGACCCACATAGTCTCAGACTTTTTTAAACTAAACCTAGCTCTGGGGTCTGAGACAGAGCCACACCTTGTCTGATCCACAGGATTGGTGGCAACTCTACAGTGGTGCAATTGGGATCTGAGAAATGTTATGCTACATCCCAAGCATCAACCATCTTGCCATGCTAGACATGTAGCAGGACACGCAATGTTTGAAATAGGGCATAAGATTCCTTAGATCCCAATGATGCCATTATATGAACATTGACCAGGGTCTGCTAGGACAGAAGAATCAAAGTATGCAAAAGTATCTTAAGTGAACCCTTATTTTTTTTTCTTGCTGATGAATTACAAAACTGCATCACTGATCCTGGTTTTCCCTGATAAAAAAATTGCAAATTCTAATCTCAAAAATCTCAAATTCTCTAATAAACCCCCCAAAATCTGTGGTTAAAATTAAAGGCCTCCCCCATAGGCCCCTGGCCCTGCTCATGACTCTCACTTCCCCCCCAGCCTTGCTGTTGCCCCTTGCCCCCCATCCAAAGCTCCTGCTCCCCCAACCCTGTTGTAGGGGGATCCCAGCTGCCAGGGCTATGGACACCCCCTGCCTCCACTTCCTTCTGCTGCCTGCTGTGCACTCAGGTGGGGCATCTCCCAGCCACTATGTGCATTTTCGGAGGGCAAGGGGTCCTATGCCTCCCAGATCTATATGCAAGGCAGGCACAGGCTGCGGCCTCGGGCTCCCACCCTGCTTCTCTCCCTCAGGCCTCTGCAGCCCAGTGGGCATGACCTGACACGGCAGGGAACAGCTGGGCCACATGGGGATCTTCACACAGGTGTGAGTTCTGCACTGTCCTGGTAACACACCTCCTGCGCATGCTGCTGCTTTGAGGGGCCCAGTGCTGCACGCATGTTGCTGGGGCAGTGCAGAGCTCACAAAGGCAAGGAGATCCCCATGCAGCCCAGCTGTTCTTTGCCGCACTGGGTCATGCCCAGAGAAGGGAAACAGGTTGGGAGCCTGAGCCTACAGCCTGTGCCTGCTCTGTGTACAGATTTGGGGGGTGTGGGTCC